ACCACTTGTGATGCATCCCCAATATACATGGTGTGCTTTCCCTTACCGCGACAAATTCCCCCCCTCCCATGTGGATTTAGCCTGTCCTTTCAGTTTCCCTTTGAAACTACAAACATGGGGGACCATCCACAAACGTAAACATGGAGAAAACAAGCACATGCGCTGAATCTGAGATGGTTTCTCGGGGCATCATAAATTGACTTTTCCAGAGCTTACCGGCACGTTGCATTTCACCGCCTTAGAGGGTTTGCGGGTCAAAAGGGGTCGTTCAGCACATCCTTAAGAGGTACTTCCCTTTTTCCAACCATGAAAAGGGTTAAAAGGAGTCGTTCGGTACCTCCCTAAAAAGGTAGAGGACCTTCTGGGAAAAGTCAGGGGACCCATCATGTGAAGCCTAGAAGTCAAAATACCAAAACGTTTCTAGGTGCAACGTCCGGAAGCATTGGTGTTGATAACCAAAAGAGCAGTGGGAACATGAGCCCACTCCACACATCAGAGCTCCACTGGCCCTGCAAACGGACACCCATTTCCTTGGTACTTCATGTTTCCCTTTAATTGATAGAATCAAGTGATTTGCTTTTGGTAGGAACTGCTAGCAACCAAAAGTTGCCGAGAAAAGGAACCAGGGCACTGCATCTTGAGGCCCCGCCTGCCGCATGCGGCTTGGAAGGACCTGCCAAGGCCACGAGCTGGCGGGTAGAAATGGACATCTCGGCGCCGCTCATGAGAAAACACAAGGATATGTCCTCACTTCCTGAGTGGATGGACCTAAAAAAGTCCAAACTTTATATTTACCACTAAAATGGTCTTCCCAAAAAGCTTAAAGTTCATGAACTCGGGAAGTGAGAGGATATGTCTGTTTTGGAGGTGGTACCCGTTTGGGGAGTCACCTGAAAAGTAAGCCACAGCAGGCAATTTCGAGGTCTTTCAGTTCTGAAACAAACCATGGGTTGCCTCCGAAGATTTGGCGGCCTGCAGGGGGGAGGTCTTTGGGTGTGTGCAAAGCGTCTTCCGAGCTGCTCACAAACAGGCAATGGAAGCCAGTCTTTTTGGAACTCCGAAGAGACCAGTGATAAGAAAGGAACCACCTGGAGCCTCAAAACTCCAACTTGTTATTGCAACTCAGAATTATGGCTGATGAATTCCCATTTTCCTCAAACTACAAATAACAATGTTGGAATTTGCCAAGATGTTGGGTTGCAATAACCCATTTTAAAGCTGGAATTGGAGGGTCCAGGCCTTCCCTGTTCTAGCTTTTTATTTTGGTTTCCCTTCCAACCCTACCAGCAAGGAGTACCCTCAAAAAGGCAGACACGCCCTAGGTCTTACCTCCATTCCCGCATAAAGCTCGGATCAACCCTAATAGATGTCCAGCTAATTTCCGTTTGGTGTTTCAAGCGTGGCAAGCCCTTGGCTTCCGACCCTCCCCCTCATTTAAGATGAAACTTGACACGGGGATCCCGGAAGACCATGTTTTGGAAAGGGACCCCTGAACGTCAGCTTCCATGTTTAGTGGAAGGGTACTGCATGTAGGTACCAGGACCCTCAAAAAATACAAACTTAAAAGTTGGTTATTGCCCCAAAATCATGGTTAGTAAATTCCAATTTTTAAGGGTAGTTTGAGGGTCCAGGTACCTAAATTGCTATCCAAGGCAACATGGATTGAAGGGTTACCTACTACCCAGAGGCTCCCAATGTATTTAGGGCCCTCAAACAGGGCTTTGAGACCCTCAAGCACCTCCAGGGGTGTCTAATGCTTCGGAAAGCCGAAGCCGATCGGAGCCTCTGTGTGAGTGGCTTGGGTAAACCAGGTATTGGTAACCAAACGAACATGGATTCAAGGGTTAACTTACCTCTTAAAAACACAACACTTTTCTCAACTTTTTGGGGGTAACATGGGCTATCTGTAAAAGATGAGAACTTCCCCAGGGCGCGGGGAGTTTTTTTCGGGGTAAGTACTATTTTAAGTGGCTTGCCTGGCTCAACGGAATCTCCGGGCAAAATAAAACGTCGACTGCTCCGGCTTTCTGGGCCTTCAGCTCCTTCACGCCCGGAGCTTCAGGGCCTTCGGTTCAGTTCCTGGCGGGGTCTTTGGCGGAAACGGCCCCTACACTTGGCTGGCGCGGACCAAGAATGCACCAAAAAGGTGGTGTATATATATATATATTGTCCATATATATATATTGTCCATATATATATATATATATATCCAGATATATATATATATATATATATCAACATATATATATATATATAAATATAACCGCGGATCCCGGGAACCTGCCCGTACGTTTGGCCGTGCCTCGGAACAAATGCACCAAAAAGGCACCTTGGTATATATAGAACCAAAGACCAAACAACGCGTAAAAGCCTAGATCTTGGATTGTTGAGCCACACCCTTCAGACCAAGAGCCCCTTGGCACCTTGGCACCCTGTGAGGCAATTGGTTTGACCCCTTTCTGACCCAAGCACATCCTTGCCAATGGACCGCAAGGACTACTCCAACTAGTCGTACTCAGAGCAGTACAAGTCAGGGTGTGATCTAGACCTAGGTGTGGGAAACCTGCTGCGTCACAAACAATAGTGCTTGCGGTTGGTTCAATTGGGTAGGCCCCCTACTCTTTGTGAGAAAATAGGGAATATGGGAAGGCCTCCCATGTCCTCTCCAAATTAACAACAGACTATGCAGTAATGTTCGTTGCATATATTCTGCAGAAGCGATGAAGCCACGGCTAAGCCACTGGCCTGGTTTCGTGGCACACTTCCCAAGCAAATCACAATCAATCATGTTGGCTTAACCGTACATCATGTTCCCTGGCCAAACTGTTCAGCGAAACATAAGCCTCACCCAAAAGCTTAGAACGCCGAAACTCGCGGATGTCTGCGGAAGTTTTGTAGCAAGAAGCCGAATCCGTGGGTAGGCCGGAAACGAGCCATGTTCCATTTGGTTTAGGTGGTCCGGTTCACTTCTGATCGAGTGGATTGGCCAAAAACAGTAACCACACTGTATGAGTGTGTGTTCTCTCAACTGGCAAAATGATCTTCCCAAGAAGTGACTCAAGTCCAGAACCTCAGGGATTGACTTGGTTACCTATATGGGGGAAATAGAACTGCCGGGAAGGGACAAATCGTGGAAGGTCTGGCAACATCTCCCCGAGCTGCAGGGGAAAGGCGACAACAAAACTCCGGCTTTGACAAGCCCCGACGGGCTCAGTAGAACAACACGGCTAGAGTCAAGGCGCGAAGCCACAAAGTATACATGATGTTCAATCCACAAGGTAGGCGATAACTAGAAAGCAGGTAGCCAATTGAACCACCCTTAAAAAAGGAACATGACTGGCTATCCGTGATAGTGGTAGCCGGGATCCACTGGGACAGCTATAGCTGGAACTGGGGTTAATCCCCCTGGCGATCACCCGAACGCCGTTTTTTGTTGGTTGGTGTGCCACTGAAAAAACCCATCAGGGGAAAACAAAGGACCCATCCGCGTGCCACTGGGCAACTGAGCCGTGTTTTTTTTAATGGTGTGGGGTCTATACACTGGAAGCACATACCTACGCGGAGGCTACGCGGCTGTCTTTCCCCCCAGGAATTTGGCTACGCGGAGGCTACGCGGAACATATTTGTTGATAAGTGGCTACGCGGGGGGCTACGCCGGGGCTACGCGAATACTCGTCCGCAACCGGAAGTTCGTAGTAGCAGAAGAAGTAGTAGTAGTAGTAGTAGTAGTGGTAGTAGTAGTAGTAGTAGTAGTACTAGTAGTAGTAGTAGTAGTAGTAGTACTAGTACTAGTACTACTACTACTTCTTCTACTACTACTACTACTAGTACTAGTACTAGCACTAGCAGTAATAGTAGTAGAAGTATTAGTAGCAGGAGCAGTGGTAGTAGTAGTGGTAGTGGTAGCAGCTGTAGTAGTGGTAGTGGTAGTGGTAGTGGTAGTGGTAGCAGTAGTAGCAGTAGTAGTACTAGTAGTAGTAGTAGCAGTAGTAGTAGTAGTAGCAGTAGTAGTAGGGCCAGTGGCCTTGAACACGCCTTGGAGGCTACGCGGAGGCTACGCGCAGGCTACGCTGAGGCTACGCGGAATGAGCGAACTCAGCTCTGGCTGGGCCAGGCAAATCAAATTCACCCTCTTTCTCTGAGACACGCAAGCTTTCAACCTAAGCCTTGAGCTCAAGACAAAGGATCTAGGCGGAGGCTACGCGGACGATTGTCGACAGCTCCCTTTGCTAGTGGCTACGCGGAGGCTACGCGAGGCTACGCGGTCCCAGGAGTAGGCTACGCGGCTACCATGCCAGTTCCCCTCTCCTTTTGGCTCCTGCATTTAAAAAAAAACCGCTGCTCAACTGTGCTGAGTACAATCAATCACCCTCCACCCTCCAACGGAAGCACATCCCGTCCGTCTCAAATGTGCTGCAAGATGGCGGCATGGAGGGATTTCCGGCGCGCTGCATCTCACGTCTTGAGCCAAAAGGAGGCGGGAAAAAGCACACTGTGAATCAAACAGAACTCACTTCTGTGGATTGGCCAAAGAAACTCTAGACCTTAACCCCAAGTTAACGCGTGCTTTGATCATATAATATAATTATGGGTTATGGCTACATTGACAAGTCATAATAAAAACCTGGTAAGATCTGTACCCAAAGCCATGTAAAGAAGTCAATGGGTGGATATCCACAAGAATTGGGTTGATAGCCGCACATGCACATATTTAGAGTTGGGACTGTCCCTTACTCATCTTCACCTGACTGGGTTCCGATTGTGACTCACAAGCGCCAAAGCCACCCCGATCACCAAACAGAAACAAATGTGTTGTGTCGTCGCTCAAAGGGCTTGGGATTCAAAAGGGAGGACGCACAACAGCGGAATGCATCACCACCTACGTGAACGAGACCCCGGTATGAACCCCTACTTTACTGACTCCGAGTGGAGTTGTAAAAAACAAGCCCTGTACCAACCACTAGTTTGTTTTTGCCGGAGCTCTCGACTGAGCTGAGGGCAAAAGAGCAGCAGTGGCAGCTCCAAGATAATGACGGAGCAGGTCCACAGCAGGTAGCCCAACCAACTGTAGCCTCGCATTTTTACATCGTCTGGGGCGGGGCGACTGCTACCCTCCCACCAATCAGCATGGAACCTGACGTTCGGAGGTCCCTGGAAGACCATTTTCCTTTTGAAGGGACCCTCTGGTGGGTTCCATGTTAATTGGCACGAAGGCAAATAGTTAGTAGGGGTACTTATGGGACAAAATGGGAAACGGAACAGAACCCGGCAATCCCTAGTGGATAGGAATACGGCAGTTGCATCTACACATTCATGGATCGGTCAACGTATGGATCCCACGTAGGGCCAGCTAGATGCATGTGGGTCAAACATAGGTACCCCATGGCAGTGGAAATTTCACGCAGAGCCAATGCTGAAGGGAAAGAAAAGGCACCTTTCTTTGGCAAGTACACCCCTGATAACCAATACACACACAAACACAAAAACAGACACATGCAAAAACACAAACACAAAAAACACACACACAAACACACACACACACACACACACACACACACACACACACACACACACACACACACACACACACACACACACACACACACACACACACACACACACACACACACACACACACACACACACACACACACACACACACACACACACACACACACACACACACACACACACACACACACACACACACACACACACACACACACACACACACACACACACACACACACACACACACACACTGACACACACAAACACACAAACACAAACACAAGCAAAAATATTAACACAAACAATAACATACACACACACACACAAACACTACCCAAGCTCCGGGAGCAAGACAACCCGTGCCTACGCAGCCAAAGCCCGTCACCGACACTGTGGTGCAGCGTAGCAGTACCTGGGCAGCGCCGCTACATCCAGTGCATGTCACGGGCAAAGTGCTGATGTTTTCACTAAGGCGAAAACGGAGCCCTGATGTATGCACGTATGCATATATCGTCATGCGAACATCGATATGGGGTTGTCTCCAGAAAATGGTACCAAAATGAAATTGTATTGTTGGTGTGCCCTTATATCATCCGCAACAGGGGTACCAACTCAAACAAAAACGACCCCATACGCGTGCTTGCTTTCTTTGGTGGGCATCCCCCAAAAAATGGGGTTTCCTGTAGGTGTTCCCTTTAAATTATGTTAGGGGACCAACTCAAACAAGACGACCCCATAGGGGTGTGCCTTTTGCTTCGGGCAAACCAGCAAATGATGGGTTCTGATAGGTTTCCTTTAGGCTTTTCCCTTGAAATCAACCCAACAAAGATACCAACTCAAACAACCACGACTCCATATGCGTGCGTTATATTGTATCGAGGCATCCCCAAAAATGATGGGTGTCAGCCAGGTTTCCCTTTAAAGCCCGCCCCCAAAAGAATACCAACTCAAACACACACGGACCAAAGCCCCAGATTTTTCGCCGCCCTTGCGGTCCCAGGCACAGCACACAGCGTGAAGGAGACCAAATCCTCCGGGTTCACGAACAGGTCATCCTAGGATCCGCTTCGACGAGAGAAGGATCGGAAGGATTGCTCCCCAGATGCGTGTGGCTCAAAAAAATCGCTGCTTGAGTTGGTCCATCTTGGGCGTTTTGCCTATAGGTGTTCAGCCGAAAGCGGCTCAGTGTACCCTGGTAAATGGAAAAGTACACTAACTAAACCCCGAAGATTCCCCTGTCTCTTAAAACTTTCAGCTCTACCCTCCAACAATCAGGGAAGTGGACGATTGGGGGCCTCCCAAAAAAGTAGTCTTCCAAAACCCTCCTAGATGAATGGCCTTGGCACCTTGAAGCATCACACTGGGGAGCCTCCTAGATGAATGGCCTGCATCGTGCTGAGGGGCATGTAATCCAGTGCTTCCAGGCGTTTCGCCTGTATGGGTATCAAGGGGAAGCCGTCCATGGTAAAACCATGAGGTACATTTGCCTGGTTACCTACTGTAGTGGTGACTGGAAGCATTGGTAAGCCATGTTCTCTTTGGGCAGTGGTTTAAGAAACCACCTGAGACTGATCGAACAGCATTGTGCCAAATGGCTCCTTTGCAATTCTGGACAACACTTCCTTGAGTCCTAGCTTGCAGGGGCTCCCAAAATCACCCTCAGCGGATTCCAAGAGATATTCTGTTGGGACGGGTTCCCCGTATCAATTTCCCTCTCGATGGTTTGCAGCGTAACAAGGTTACATTCTGCATTAGAGCGAGTGTCCTTGCGGTGATGTGTCCATGGGAATTATAGATATTGAATCCAATTAGGAACCACTTGGTGGAGAGCATTTAGGCGGGGATTGATGTCCAGCCACTTTTGCGGGCTTTCTCTACTTTCAAACAGTCGCAGTAGCCATTTAGGTACGGCAAGTTGCGGGTTACCCATGATCCCTGCAAGGACACACCTAAAGTTCACCTCCTACGTGTGGAAGTCCTTTAACAAAGCTGTTAAGGTGGTTGTTTATTCTTTCAAAAAAGTAGCCACACTGCATCCGTTAAGGAGCCTAGGTACCTGACATACAGAATCCAAGAGCTCCACCTGGGTTCTCCGACTGCCATACTGCTGGCGGCGTGGAAGATGCCGGGTCTTCCCACCTGACACGCGTATCCACTGCCGGTAGTTTGTTATGAAGAAATACGTGCCAACATGTGAGCTCGGTTGCTTTCTACTCCCCTGCTAAAAGTTCAACTTATAATTAGTGGTTTAATGGCAAAAACCCGTTCGTTGGCAAAAAGTTAAAGTCCTAACATCCAAGCAAACTGCACCAAAGTAAGCCACTTGAGTAGTAAACTCAGGTACATCAACATGGGTCTTTGTTCCTTGAGGGTAGATATCATCGATCAATTTGTGTGTCATCGGAACAAGAAGAACCCAAGGGAAACCTGTTGCCCTCGGCAAAAACGCCCAGACCCTCCTTGGACAATTCCATGGACCAACACCCAAAAGGGCAGCTAATTTTAAAAGGCCCCCCAACGCAAGCATAGGTGTCCTGTTTGGTGGGTTTGGTTAGTTTGGTTGACAAATAGAGGGCCCTGATTTACCTGGTGGTTCCTCAATGGCGAGCTAGCAGAGTGCACCACAGAGCCACATGAAAACCGCCGTAGTTGAAGCTTGGAACACAGTACACTCATCAAACCATCCAAGCGTGTATGAGCCTTGAAGAGGTTCTTCGGCAACATAACGAGTAGTAAGGACTTCCCGGTCGGGTGTTTGGCAGGGGTGGTTTTCTAAGGTCTCTGGAGGATCACAAAGGACCTTTGCGCCCAAAACGCACGCAACACACTTTGGCCCCGTTTCGTGTGGGGCCCGTTCTGTCACAAGGCGGATGTTCCCATGTCTACTTGTCCCAACTTTCCCCAAAGATCTGGAAACGCTTAACCTTTTGGGTATGGCTCAAAATTAAAGAGCCAGGGTTACGCAGGTTTTAGGCTTTGGTTCCCTTTACCCAGGTGCCAGTTTGGTCCCACATTTTTGAGCCACTGCCTTCTGGGACCTTGACAATGGATCGGATGCACGCCAGATCCGGCCAGATCCGGTGAGATCCGGTCGATTCGCTTTCGTTGCAACTGAGCCAAAGTTCCAGTTGCTTGAGAACGCGGGTTCCCAAGCACCAGTTCAACGACAATTGCCCCACTGCAAACCTGGGTTGTCATGCTGGGCTAGCCACCTTTGCACACAGAAAGAACAAATCCCCTTCTTTGGGTGGGGCGCGGACCTTTTCTGTCCAAATCAAGCTGGGCCAGGCGGAAAGACCAGGAAACTCCGAAAGATCCCCTGGCCTTGAGCACGGATTCCCAGATTCCAGAGAACACCTCAAGGAACCTGAGTTTGAGAACCTTGAAGGGACGGGAGGTTTCGTGGGTTTCTGTGTTTCATTGAGGGTACACTTTTCAGCTTGGTTGTACGGAGAGCCTAAATAACCACCCAAATGTTGGCAATTTCCCCCTCCCCATTTTATGATGACAGGGGCATAACACGACCTTTGTTTCCATCGCCCCAACTTGCGAGTGAAATACGAAATGCATCCCATCTGAGGGGGGGGGGGCTGGCTGCTTGAATATTCAACCTGAATAGCAAGCAGGATATGTGTTTAGCTCGACCAAGGACTGTTGTCTCACCTATAACCGTTAACTCAATCAAGCAGGTTGAACATCCAAGAACACCCCTCCAAACAGCCCCCTCCAAGGGATACAATGAGCATGGCCAATCCTGCGTAACCACACTTGCGGCGTGAGGTTTTAGTTTTTGTCAAGGAGGCTCCACCCGGAGAAACACATTTCGGCGCCTGCACCACCGTGGTGATGGCTGCAAGCAGCAAGAAGACCACCTTGAATGGACTCGACACACGCGCTAGTAGCCGGACACGAGGGTGTAGCGTGTTTTTGTGTTGATCGTTTGTTTTTCTCCATCTCTCCCTAAATTATATATATATACATACATATCTATAAACAGGTGTATAAATGTATAGGGTAACAAATAAGCCTTGGTACCTTATGCCTCCATACCCGTCTGAAGGAAGCCCCCCAAAAAGCTTCTTCCACAAAGGGTGGCTTACCCATTTCCATGGATTGATACAAGCCTGACCAGTTTGCTAGTTGACCAAACGAATCGGACCCCCTGCAAACAGTGAAACACTTTGCTTGCTGGTTGCAATGGAACAATGAGGAACCAACACAAAAAAAACGGAAAGTGAAACAGGCAAGCTAAGTCTGGTAATTTGCAAACTGGTCCAAACCCGAGAATAACATAACGTCCAACTGGAGAGAGCAACACATCTGATCGCCGAAGGCTTGCCAAGAAGCACCCATGTCCAACACGGGAAACCGGATCCAAAGAAATGGGGTGTGTCCCCAAGAAGACCCCGGAAAATGATTTGTGGCTTTCCTAAGCCAACCAAAAAAGGGTATCCACCAAAAAGGCACCCCCCCCCAAAGGGCCGTGGTACCCACAGTGAACATCCCAATCCCCACTAAAATCGACTAAGATGGGTGGTGCACCCACCCCAAAATGGTACCATTGGTTTTGACCCACAGCCATATGGGTGTCTTTTGCGAGTGTACCTTGTTTCCTGGAAAAACTCCCTTTCTAAAGTTTCAAGTCCAAAACCTGAAATGAGGAATTCCAAAGTAAAGGATCTTTAGAGTGAGCTTGTTTTACCGAGCTCGCCATAAATCAGTCAGCTTGATCCGTTGGCGCCTCATCATAGCTCAACCGCGGCAAGTAGATGCCAGCCTGAAGTCGAGTTTCAGGACGGGTTATGTTCTGGTTCCCTTTTGGGTCGTTCTAAACAGCACCTGTAGGTGTCTTTTTTAGGGCACACCCCAAAAAACAAGAAACAACAAGGTCGTTCCCTTTTGGGTCCCCGTTCTAAACACCCCCCCCAACAAAAACAAGTTGTTCCCTTTTGGTTTCCCTTTCAAACAAACCAACCAAAAAGTGGGTACACTCCTAACTTTGGTTTTCGTTTAAACAAACCAACCAAAAAGTGGGTACACTCCTAACTTTGGTTTTCCTTCAAACAAACCAACCAAAAAGTGGGTACACTCCAACAAAGGGAACCACACACCTGGGCAAATTCTTAACAAACAGAAGGAATCCCCGAAAAGAAACATTGGAAGAGCTTGAGCTTCAAGTCTCACCTCGACAAGCTCGTTCCAAGCCCTGCGTGCCCCCGAGACAACTCCGGGGCCCTGCTTTCTTGTGGCTTACTCTCATATTAATCAACCCCAGTTTGTTATATAACAGGAGGGTGTCCAACTGGGTGAAATTTGGGGGATCAGGCCACTTTTGGAGGGGACTCCCTATTTCCAATGAAGGTGGATTGGCTAAAAAAAATCCAAACTGCTTGTTTACCACCAAAATGCTCTACTCAAACAGTTTAAGTCAAGGAACTCAGGAAGTGAGTACAAAAGCAGCCCCGGAACCGTGCATGTTTCCAATAGCCTTGCTTGCGCTCCCTGGCACAAGGCAAATGGTTGCTGAACCGGGAAGTTCAGCCCCCGGACAAAGCAAACAAGAAAGACGTTCAGACAAGTTCTACCCAAAGGAGGCTTGGTTTTTGAAAAGACCAACAGCGCACCTCTCAAAAAGTTTCCCCCGAAGCTGACGTCCGATGAGACTCGCAAGAGCGATTGGGAGGGTCCCTTGGTACCTGAGGATGGCTTTGGGTCAAAAGGGGTCTGAGTACATCCTATCCCAAAAGGGTGGCGCTCCTTGCGTTTGCCCTTCCAACCTTAAAAGAGGGGGAGCCTCAAAAATGAACACACATCCATATCAAGTCTCTTGACTCGAATTCTCTCTGGGCCGGGCCAGTGCCAACGCCAGCACGGCAATATCCAGGCCGCCCACCTCAGACAAACCGAATTCCAGGTTCCCAGTTCCGAGTTTCACGCCTCATCATTCAGGAATGGACCTCCAAGGGCCATAACCCTGGGAGCCAATCTGATGCTGACCCCGGATTCCAGCTTGGATTCACCCGTTCCAAAAAATGGGGGGAGTTCCCTCAACTGGTCTGAACACCAACCAAACAAACAATTGAACCCCCCAATCAAACTCAAAATCAACCATGGGTTTTGAATTTGAAAGCCCCGGGAGCAGAATTTATGATTGATGTTGATTAATAGCGCGGTGTCAAACCACTTAGGGAACCTCCCCCCCTTTTCATGGCGGGTAGAAAAAATCATCTGGGGTCACCCAAACAAGGTGCACGGCTCACCTTAAAGCTCACTTGCAGGGGGCAGGGTACTTGGCAGGTGGTTTCTGACCTGGGCTACAACTCCCTCCGGGGGGTTGCAAACACGGTAAGTGGGCTATAGCCACCGCTTATCGTCAGGGAAACCAAGGGATGCCACAAGTTTCTGGTAAGTGCGCGAGTTGCGCATCTCAGTGCTTCCAGCTACCACTATAGTGGGTAACCCTGCAGTATACCTAGCTCCAGGTGCACTTCTGCTGCCCGGGTTGCCTACCATAGCTTGCCTGGAAGCACTGAGAAAGCCCGATGAAGGAATGATGCCAAACTTGGCCGAACAAGATTCGCTTTGTCAGGTTGCCTTCCAGCTACCACTATAGTAGGTAACTAGGGGAAACCATCATGTATAACGACGTTGGAAGCAACGGCCCAAAATTGGTACTTGGATTGGTGCTTTGGGGATTTGAACCCCTGGGTCCATGGAATGGGAAGCCACCCAGCGTGGAAAACCGCCGGACACCAAACCACCACCTGCTTGTGGCTCCTTTTTTGAAGGTACCTCTGGATGAAACCAAAACCACTATTTTGGGGCGGCCCCAAAAAAGACGCACCTTTTTGCGAGGGAAGCTTGGGCTGTGGTCTGAGTGAGTGGCAGCAGCTCCGATGCAAGCCGGACGGTCCTACGGCGCTTGCCACGTAAGGCGTGCGAAAATTAACTCCAAGGGCTCCACATTCGTGTTGACAAACAAACAAAGCTAAGCCAAGCTAAACCCTGTGACTCCATCTCCATGTGCAGCAGGTGACCGGGGGCTTGCCACCCTTTAAACACCAAAAGAAACATGAATGGCTAGCCACTGTAGGGGCAACTGCATGCTCTTGGGTGTTAACTTTCAGAATTCAGGGTGCACCCCTGTATTTAAGCCGCTGCCACGGGAATAAGGATCCCGCAAATGGGAGAACCGCATGCCCACTAAACATTGGTATAGTTAGTTGTTTACGGCACACCGTGCATGCTCAACCGCCCCAAAACTGGAAACACCTCACTGGACCGCACTGGCCGGTACCTTTTGCCGAGGCCGCATCTCCCGCAACGAGCCTGCGGACTTAATCCACACCTTGGCACTTGTTGGCCGTGCGCGAGTGGCTCCTTCAGAGCGATTTGCTCACTGCATTTGCTTGCAGCAGAGCAGAAAAAGATTGCATTGTCTGCTGATTAACCGCCCTCGCCCGGCCTTTGGCCTTGGCTTTGGGGACCTTCGGCTGTACACGTTCCTTGGCTTTGGCTTTGGCGGAGCGACCGCCCCGTCCCGCTGACTTTGACGACGTGGCCTTAGCACTGCATCCACCACCCTCAAGGTCACAGTCCTCCGGAGCCGCATCGACGTGGTCATCGGGGGCAGCGATCAGAAGCTTGGCGTCGATCAATGCCGTCTGGTGGCTCTGGCCCGCCATGGTGTCCAGGTTGTTGTTGCTATCACCACTATCGCCGGAGAGCGAGGTGACCATGTCCATCTCATCTTCCGACCTGGCCTTCGTTGGAACGGCCTGATCGGATGGGGCGTTGAGCTTCTTGTCCTGGCGCTTGTCCTTGTTGTTCTTCTTCTCTTTCTTGTCCTTCTTCTCTTTCTTGTCCTTCTTCTCTTTCTTGTCCTTCTTGTCTTTCTTGTCCTTTTTGTGCTTCTTATCGCTCTTGGATTTCTTATCTGCCTTGGCGTTGCTCTTGTCCGTCTTGTCCGGCTTGTGCTTGGTCTTGTGCTTGGCTGGTGTGTCCTTTGTCTCCTTGATGGTCTCGCTGATGTTCGCGTCAATCGCTTTGTCAGCGGGATTCATGATCACCGTTGAGTCGGCGTCGGGGTATGCACCTGGCTTGCTGGGTTGACCGGGTTGATCTTGCCGTGTGGTGATCTCATCAAACTCCGCCAGCATGGTGGCGACCTCTGCGGACTGGTCAGGAGACACGAGGTTATGCGATGGCGATGGCGGCTGGGTGGCTGATCCCGCTTGTTGGGCATCGAGGTCCAGCTGCTTGTCGTCATGGATCACCTGAGTAGGCGCCACCTGTGTGTCCACCAGTGCACTGGCTGCAGGTGCCGTGTCGTTGAGATGTGTGCTTGTTGCACGTGTTGGGCTAGCTTCTTGTGTGTCTACTGCTTGTGTATCTGCTGGGATGACTGGCGGCAATGGCTGCCCGACGGATGGCGCAGCTGTGTTGTCTTTGCCAATCGCTGGTGCAATGGCTGCTTGTGTGTCGGCTGCTTGTGTCTCGGTCGCTTGTGTCTCGGCTGCTGGTGTCTCGGCTGCTTGTGTCTCTGCTGCTTGTGTTTCTGCTGGGATGACTGCCGGTAAAGGATGCGCTGCGGATGGTGCAGCTGCGTCTGCTTGGCCAACCGCTTCTGTAGTGGCTGCTGATGGCATGACTGGTGGCAATGGCTGCTCTACGGATGGTGCATCTGCATGGGCGGTGCCAATCGCTGGCGTCTCGGCTGCTGGTGGTTGCTGGTCGTCATGCCCAGTGGCTGCTTCCGGAGTGGCATCTGGCAACATTGGCACGATTCGTGTAGCCCAGTGTGCCTCCATGCCAGCGGCGAAGCTAAGCATGAACCGGGTGATGTTATTCCTTCACAGGGGCGAAAAAAAGGGAGGAAAACCATGTGACCAATCCTCGTACATTTCACAGTGCCCGATTGGACGCCGGGAGCTAGCATTAAGTTGTTGGCGTTCAAGTTGTGTTTGTAACGCTTCACCATGCCAATCACCCAACCCTGTCCCCTTGAAGTGGTCATTGATGCGCTGCAGTGATGGTAGGGCACGACGATCCAGAAGATGCACCGGGCACCTCACACCGAAGGTATGATTGTTGACCGGCTTCTCGCAGACCATGAATCCAGCAGGAATGACCAGGGCATCCCCCGGTAGGAGACATCCGACGCTGAAGCTTGGCAAGGAAGACAGCTCTTCCGATGATGGGTTAAGGTTCTCCAGACCCTGAGCAGCCTCTTGAAAGCCGCCCGCAAAAGCCTCCATGAGCTGTGCAGTATCACAGGCAGCAACCAATCTTGTGCCATCAGTCTGGTAGAAGATCTGACCAATCCCACCATAGCCAATGGATGTAGTGTGTTGACCATGTCGATGGGCATACATCACTGGCTCGGACATTTTCCGGATGTCCGACTTGGATTGCTCAGCATCAGGATCACAATGCGCCGCAATGAATTGGCGAAATTCATCTGCAGTTGCAACAGCTACTGCGGGCACCACAGCTCCTTCAAGCGTGTGGTCAACCACAATAGGCACCAGTTTCAGCTACAGCTACATACTACAGTTATAGTGATTATAGTGGTTTAGTGGCATCCCGGCAACAGCAAACATTGAACATCACACAGCAGGAGTTTGTAGACAGCATAAGAGATATCGAATTACGGCCACATATCTTAAAAGGGACATGTTATAACATGTGTTTCAGTTGGACTAGCTGGTGGTGTTTTTTTCTGGCACCAACGCCTGCCCCGTCTCATCCAGTTGGTCTTGAAACAGGTTATCCCAGGACATCTCCGTGTTGAAGGCCGAGTTCTCCGTATACTGAATAGCTTTATCACGGGGCTCAGATTCTGGCTCAAATCCCTTGCAAGCGATGGCCACGAAGTTCTTCAGCTGGCCCCCCATATTCGTGCTGTGGGAGCAACACGACCGATCATCGATGCCATTTGCCTTCAGTTGGCAACGTGTCATGCGGCACGGGTGATTGGGAGTAGCGTTTGGCATGTGTGACAAGTCCTTGAAGTTACAGGATGCATGCCATGCCAGTCCTTGAACTCCATCAGCCAACATTACAACATTAAAGCACTAAGCCTTGTAGTCAACCTTGAATATGTGCCAGTCAGTAAACGGCAAATGGGTATGTGTTTGGTTTGGGGCACCCTTTTTGAAGTCAGGGTTGTCTCAATGATGTCACAAACAGTGAGGTATCAGACCCTCCCACCCAAGAAACTCCCGCCTCCAATGCCTTTTTGATAGCAGATCGGCGCAATCTCGCAATAATCGGCCGGTGGGACCACATAAGAACAGGCACTGCTTGTGAAGGGCCAACCTTGGTTGATGTCCCAATGGATGTGTTCCAGTCAAGAACGACACGTGCCCATTCAGCTATAAATTCATGACATTGCATTGCCTGAACAGTGCAACAGTGCATGGATTGCATCAAGGCAACAATTTTCTCCGTCACAGGGATCGTGAACTCACCGAATCGAGATCGCAGCACTGGCGGATCTGAATCACAAAGCTCAGACTGGATCCTGCCTGCCATCCTGCGTTTTTTCTTGTCCTGTGCCTGCTGCGGTTCCCCCTCCTGGTCTGCTTGGTTTGCCAAAACATGCAGTCGATGCTGTTCTTCCTTTTTGCGTTGACGTTCTTCGGCCCTGGCTGCTGCTTTTGCTGCACGCTCCGCCTCACGTTCTTCATGCTTTTGCTCCATGAACCTGGCCTTTTTCAGCGCCTTCAAATTGGCCCGCCATTCGGATGCAGCTGTGACCAATGATTTTGCCACTTTGGTCATCATACCAATGGCCTCATTGTGTTTGGAAAATTCGTCTTCAACCCGTTCCAGCGTTGGCTGGAAGTCGGCAACAGTCCTGACCTTACGTAGCGATCCCAGGGTTTTGATCGCATGCTTTGCCACCTGTTGCGGCAGCGACTGGAAATATGGATCAGCCTGGATGAGCTCATACATGGACGCCTCGATGCCACCCGCGATATCGTCCGCTTGCGAAGTGCTCGTAGCCATTTGAACCTCAGTGACAGATGCTCAGACATTGGTAGGATCAACATCGTCAACACAGTATCCGAACATGATAGGATGTGTGCTATTGGTATTTTGGTTATGCAGTACAATTCAGCATACACAGGGAATACAATGCTCGGGTTGACCAAGCAATTCAAGCAATGACGCTGACACAATACAAAGTCAGATCGGCATTGTGTGCTCGTCTAGTTTAGGCATCATTCTACAAACAACGACTCAACACTACTCAAAACCCGCAGTCACACATCGATGACTGGTTCAACATGCGCAGCTAGTGCAAAGACTGGTTCAACATGCGCAGCTAGTGCAAACTAGTAGCAATCCTCGACCTGCTTTGGATTAGATGTAGGGCAGGGTCGGCATCCATGGCGTCATTGTCGCCCTGATACTCTGTGCGTGCCTCGGATGCATCGCGGGTGCTCACAATTGCATACCCAGTAAAAAAATGAGAATTAAAGGGTCCAAGCCCACAGTACAACCGACTGAATAGGAGAACTACCGGTGCTTGCTCAGCACCTCCTAAGGGCCGTAAGTGTATGAGGGCCGGGGGGGGGGGGCTTGGTGCATCCAGGGAACCTCCACCATAATTGCATCCGCAACATTTGATGCATGTGTCAGCTCCTTCTCCATCGCGTTGAAAGCACGAAGGCTCTGACGCCGAAGTGTGCTTGCGGCAGCCACTGCACACTTGAAACCTTTCTGGATCGGCTTGGGTTGGAGCGGTTTGCTGCCAAGGCTTTGGCTACCAGAACCACGAGCACCCGCGAGCGCGGCCGGGATCCCAGAACGGCTGCCAAAGCCAGCGCCTGAGACAGGTGGTGAACGCATAGTTTGTCAAACCAATATATTCATGGCAAGGGAATGACTTGCTAGTTGGGTGGT